ATACATCGATTTCACCGAAAACAATCCATCATGTTTATACCATCTCATTTGCAATACTACAAGAAATAACTGCTTCATGAAGCTGCGATAACAGTAATGTAAATTGCACCAGCATGTTCTCTTGAATTTTGTCATATGGAAACTAAATATTCCATACCACTTGCTCCCCTACTAATTCGTAAGTGTCAGTTATCAAGACTTTAGGATTAGAAACTTTAGCAACTAAATCAGGGAATGATATATTCAGTGGACAGTTACCTATCCACTTTTTATGCCAAAAGGAAACTTGAGATCTACTCCCCACACATCATTGGATATCTATGAAGATAAGCTTGACATAAAAAGATATCTCTCCAATAAATAAACCTAGATGCACTTCTTCTACACCCGATGGTATTTTCAAAAGGGACAATTGATAAATAGGTAAATTTGTCATGCAGGATCTCAACAAGGTCACTCTTCCTCCAAGAGACAGACACTTCGGCTTTTATAAATCTAGTTTCACTTGAGCACGCTGAATTACTTTATCCCAAACTGAAATATGAAGTCTTGCATAAAAAATTGGCAGCCCTAGATAAGTAATGGGAAAGGTATCAACTTTACATCTAAGAGTCAAAGCCAACTCCTCAACCATATCCTCACTACAATTAGCCCCAACCAAAGATGTTTTTGTAAGATTAATTTTTAATCCTACAGTCAATTCACAACGCTTCAAAAATCTGCCAATATTTTCAATACACTTCTTCTTTGCCTCAATAAATATCAATGTGTCATCAGCATACTAGAGATGAGAAATAATAGGTCCATACTGACCAATAGGAAAGCTCGAAAAGTTACTTCTATTCACCACATTATTAATCATAAGACTAAAATACTCTGTATAGATTGTGAAAAGAAATGGTTATAAAGAGTCTCCTTGATGGAGACCTCTAGAGGCTTTGAAAATTTCTTTTGGGCAACCATTAATAAAGCACCGAGAAGTACGCAGAGGATAAACAACCATAAATCCAGTTACGCCATTTCACCCCAAAACCCATCCTATTCAAATCTTCTAAATGAATGCTCCACTCAACCCTGTCATAGGTATTTTTCATATCCAATTTGATCACCACACCTGGTTTTTTACTTTCAACTCTTGAATGGATACATTTTGAGCCACAAACACACTATCAGTTATCAAATCTGTTTTTGATAAAGGCTGCTTGAGTTCCTGAAATTACAAAATTTGACACCTTCTTAAGCCTTATCGCCAAAATCTTAGCAATAATTTTATACAAGCTGGTCAACAAGCTGATATGCCTTATATCAAAGAGTTCTACAATAACATATTTTTTAAGGATTAAAGCAATAAAAGTTGAGTTTGCCCCCTTAAACAATTCCCCTCTTATCAGAAAGTTGCATACCATTCCCAATAATTCCCTAGAGAGCATAAACCAAAATCTATGAAAAAAACACATAAGGAAGCCATCAGGCCCTGATGCCTTATCCCTTGCTGAAGAAAAAACTACAACCTTAAACTCCTCCATTGACACATCCACCTTTAACTGAGCAGCCAAGTCCACAAAGAGACTTTAAATGGATTATGATCTATTATGGGGGTAAAATATACTTCCGAGGTGAAAGCGTTATGGAAGTGTTCAATGATAGCCCGGTCATCACCATCATCCTGCTCAACTCCTTGGATAGATAAACCAGATATGCCAGTCTACCTCCTACGAGCACTAGTAATATCATGAAAGAACGTAGTGTTCAAATCACCTTTCTTGAGCCATTTTACTCGCGACATCTGCCTCCAGTAAACTTCATCAACCCTACGGAGTTTATTAAGGGAATTAAACTTTTCGATCTTAGATAGAACACCTCAGAAATCACCCTTTTACTTTGCATAGCTTGATCAATCCCCTTAATTTCTTCCAACACACTATCAATTTTGGCTCTTAACTGGTACCTATTTTGCTTCTTCCATCCAATCAACTTATGCTTAATATTAAGCAATTTTTTGTGTAATTTAAAATCTAAAGGACCATAGGTGATAGTATTTTTCCAGGTTGCTCTAATGAGATCCCTAACCACTTCTTCATCAAACCATCTTATCTCCAATCTATATTTGTTCTAGATATTATAGAGCTCTGGAACTGATATTTAGAGCCACTAAGTACACCTCGGCGATTGACATCTAGTCAACTAATTGTGTTTTGGGTAAACTTCTGCTTGGACATGTGAATTTTGCTATTGATTTGATTATGCTTATGTTACTGCTTTAATAATCATATATGATGAAATTGAATAGTTGCTAATTTATTGACAACGAACTTTGGCAGCTTCATATTTCATTTTGGTACTGGGTCATATTTCACGAATTGGTTGTAGTACATATATGATTATATACTTCATCTATGATAATTCTATGCTTCTCATTTTGTGTGATGTAAATTTAAAGGTTAACAATAGTTCATACAGGGAAAGAACATCTCAATATTCGCATATTGATGCAAAAAAATGAAAGTTATTAATGTAGTACCCCAATTTCGTATTGTATTCCTAAAAAACAATATTTATAATGGTTTTTGATAATTTTTTTGGATTTTTTAAGGCTGAATCCGATTGATTCGGCCGATTCTCGATCCGAATCACCGATTCACAGATCTAGATAGGTTTTTGAGGTATCCGGTTCGGGGCACCGATCCATTTTTTAAATCATTGGCCGAGATGATCAATTAGAGGGTTTTTCAATGTTAAAACAACATTTTCGATAGATTTTTGAGGTGCATATGTAATTCTACATTTTAAGGTTGCAATCTTATATAATATTCTTTTTCATTTAAAGCTGAAAATAAATAATAAAATGAAAATAAAGTACTATTTTAATAATTAAAATACTATAAAAAAAATATTTTTGAACTAAATATCACAAGCATCCAACCTCTCGCTATGAGCGTCGAGCAACGCACGTGCCACTTGCCGACTGTACATGTTTATTGTTTGGATGACACGAATAGAGGAGGATGAACTTTTAATTTTTAATGCTTCTAACAACACCAAATAAGTGCACAGTGAAAGTTGTAGAATACTAAATGTCAAACAAGATCCAAACCATCCCTTAAATAAAGGAGGCCAACTGTTCCACTATCCAATACTAACAAATTAAGAATAATGGTAAAAAACTAATTATAACAATGGCCATAAAATAGGGGAATAGATTGATAGGGATGTAGCCGTATCAAAATAAGTAAAGCCTCACTGTATAACGTATAAAAAATTGCAATTCACGCATTAGAAAACTTTATATCAATCATCTCGATTATTGTTATAAAAAAAAAGAAAGATTTCAACCTCTAATTATATGGTTTTTGTAACAAATTATCTAGACCATCAATTTCATCTTGAAAATAAGTGTTTATAGATCCACAAGACCTGCACAATTTTTTTAATTTCAAATTTCAGTGTCGGTGTTGGAAATTGATTTTAGAGCATCATAAAGATTTGTATCGCTAAAAATACTTTTTGGACAATGTTTATATAAGGATGCAACCTTATAATGTAGAACTGCGGATGCACTTAAAATCCACCGGAAAAGGTAGTTTTAATGTTAAAAAACTCTTTGATTAATCATCTCGACATTGAGATGTATGACCATGAAAAATAAAAAGATTTTAAGTCTCAGAAATAGTACATTTTACAACGTATTATCTACACCATCCATTTTTAAGGTTTTCATATATTTATAGATCTACTTGATTTTAACCATTTTTAAAATTTTAAATTTTATAATTAGATATAAAAATAGATTTTGAGATGATTTTGAAAACATCTTACATCAAAATTATATACCAAGATAAAATTTGATAGGCACCCATACTCAAAATTATACACCATTATAAATTTTGAAAGGCACCCATACCTTTGGATGAGGATCAGAAGTGGGGCTTTATTTTATTTTTGTAAAGCTTAAGTCTTATAGAAAGCTAATCCAATAAAATATTATAATATGAGAAAGATATGTTCTCCATTTCCAAAGCCGGAGACGCGGAGGCGTCTTTTTCAAAACATATACGTGTTTGGATAATTTTGGCGGAGTCTTAAATATGAACGAAAATATTACCAAATTACCCCTTGATACATGTATTTAAACTTTTAAAGCTATCCTGCTTGTTTAAACAAGAGAATATTATAATCTACCGCTTTCTTTGTTTTCTCTAATCTTAAACTTTTGTAAAGGACCTCGAAATTTTGCCCTTAAAAGTTTTGCTATTTATTTACTTACCCTCTTTTGCTTTTATATGAAAAAGAACCGGCTAGTGGCAATGGCTAGTTGGCCCAACTTTGGAAAATTAAGGCTTGGATCATAAAATGTAGCCCAAAATTCAAGCCATTCTAGTTTGAAGGTGAGGTTGGCCTAGGCCGTCATATGTGGATTATGGTTGGGACTATCTTGCCTAGTAATTTAAAAAATGGATTGGCGACTAAAATCGGGGCATCTAAAAAACTGATATGGACCAATGAATCAACGGTCCAAATTGTTGTTTTATTGTACAGAAAAAATAGTGAACTGGTGAAAAAAAATGTATAAAAACAGTGAACCGGTCAAGAACCAGTTTGGATAGGTGAATTGATGTTTTTCCTCTAACAAAACGATATTTTTATTATGGCAAAATGTCATTTTATTATAGTGAATTGGTGATTATCTTCTACACCTGACCGATTTCTTACACGATGACCAATTCTCAAGTCGGACGGCATGATTATGTGACGACTCAACATTTTTTAAATCACTAATCGTTTGCCTAAAGCTCGGGCCATTAACAGGCCTCCAGCCATCCCAAGCCGCACTTGTAAATATAACCCAAATTATAGGTAATCTCGTAAATTCGCTAGAAGTTTAAGGCATTCGTAGACATCACGATTTTTCTCTCTCTTCATTAAAGGAATCCAATGAGTACCGTGCTCTGGCGTGGAAGGACCGAAAGCATTTTCTCTCTCTTCATTTCCCTAATTTTTTTATTTATTTTTCCATCCGCTCTTTCTTTTTTATCATTTTCTCGGGTCTTTTCCATTCCTGGGTTAAAGAAGTTCGCATGGCGCCCACTGAAAACACCACTACTTCCTGATTCTTTCCTGTGACAATTTACCACTTTTGTTAAAATTAAGCAAGAAGAAGCTCAATGCCTCTTCATTTGAAAAGCGTTGGTCTTCTTTCTTTGTTTTCTGACTGTTAATGGCAGTTATTTATATAGATAGAGAGAAAGGGCGAGAGAGAGCGTTCCTTAGGTTAGGGTTTTGAGACGATGCTTCGTCGCCGTGCCATGAGCTGGACCAGTGTTGCCAAGTCTGCTCAGGCGCTCGCCGCCCATGGCTCACTCCTCTCTTTTACCATTCTCCTCGTCCTCAAGCTCGACCATGTCTTCTTCTATTCATGGTGGTAAGCATTATATTCCTGTCTTTCTCTCTAATTATCCCCCCTTCCCTCTCTAATTCTTTTTCCTCTCTGTCTTCTCTCTCTAATTGTGTCTATGTCGATCTAACTCCCTCTCTCCCTAACTCGCTCACTCACATCATTCATGTTGGGCTTCGGAGGTAAGAAATCGACCTCTCTCACTCTTTCCATTTCTATATCGTCATTTAATTACTGTTAGCCCAATTTTATATGGCATAACTTGCTTGGGAGCTTATAACTTGTTTGGGAACTTGTGTTGAGAATAATCTTTGAGACACGCTCGAGCTGGATTCAAGTTGTAATTCTGATATTGATGTGGATTGGAAATAGGGTTTAGGTCTTGTAAAAAAAGCTGTTTTTTTTTTGGTTTTTTTTTTGTGAACTACAAATTGTTTTTTAATGACAATCTCTACTTATATCGGTTTATGCGATTATTGATATACTCCTCTTGGAAGATGCCCTAGTTGAGTTTCAGGAGGATGGTTTGACTTGATGGATTAGGATTTTTGTTTGGTGATAATTGGTGCTCTTTAATAGCGGGGTGTCAGCTTAAGATTGGATGAGTCTAGTCTTGTTCGCTTTAGTGCGGCTGCTTGATTGATCTGCTTATTCTATCATGGAATTCTTAATGACTATTAAATTAGGCTGTTGTGGCTAATATTAGCTTAGAAGCTTAAACAAGAGTAAGTCCTAGAAGCTGAATTTATGGTGGTAATCATTTGGAAGCAGATTTTTGTGACATTGTTAGTGAAACATAGTTTCCTCTATTTGATGCCATGCCATGCATCTTTTTACTGGCCTAACTAGGGTTCTACCTTCTCAATCTATGAAAATTCATCCAAGCACTCTAAAAACAATAGTTTGATTTCACATGTTTGATTTTATTGAATAGGATTTAGAACACAAGGTATAAGCTCAACCCATTCGAAAGAGAGTTTGAACTATTTTGGATAGCTGACTATGTTTTAAATTGGATTAGAAAGGGTCTGGCCACTCCTTGCACAAATACATTACCTGATTGGGTCATATTCAATCCCTAGCCTATTTTGCATAGGTGTATTCTTTGTCTAGTTATCATCAATTCAATCTAGTTATGCTGTCCCCAAACATCTATTGAGGCACACTTGACAGTTCCAATCTTCCCCCTCAATAACCTTATCTTTTGTTACCTTTTTATTTCATCAATAAGTAACCTTGATAACATGCACCTGCCAACGTCGTCCTCATGTCAAAGTGCATTACTTACCCACATTGTTGTTTGTGCCTACATTCAAAAGCCTTTGTGTGGGTTCTATTATGTGTACATGCAAGGAAGAAAGTTTATATAAGGTTGCAACCAGAAGCAAAGTGCACCTCAAAAATCCAATAAACAAGAGCGTTCAGAAGTTGGAAAACTTTCCGATTGATCATCTTGACCTCGAGATGTATAGATATAGAGAAAAAAAGGATTTCAAGTTCTAAAATAGTGCATCTTGTAACAAATTAACTGGACCGTCTATTTCCAAGATTTTCAAGTGTTCATAGATCTCCTATATTTATACCGTTTCTAGAATTTTAAATTTTATAATTAGGGTTGAACCTAGATTTTCAAGCCATTGTAAGATTTCTGACACCGGAACTACATCTTTTGGCAAAATTTAGAGGTGCGCCTTACTTGTATACGAACCTCACCCATATGCACATATGAATGCATGCTTATGGATAAGAACATTTTCCAAGCATTTTATGCATGTGTGACTGTAAGGAACTCAAATATGTAATTCTATTGCATGTCTTGTTATAGATTAAGAAACACATCGGGAGTAGTTGATATGCTATATTAGCTTTTCTGAGCCATTGAACTTTGTTGTGTCCTAGATATTAGATGTGTTTTCATTACTTATTCAAAGTTTGAGTGCGTAATTTTCAAAGGGGTAATTCAGTTATTTTTTAGAGCAGTTATAATTGTTAAGTGGCTGTTAATTAAATGATGCTCTTATATGAGGCTATCTATAATTTGTATAGTGAATTTGAAATTTTGTAGGATTATTTTCCTTCCTCTTTGGTCATTCCACGTGATGGTTGCCCGAGGAAGATTCTCTTTGCCCGCTCCGTCTCTACCCCATGATCGTCATGTAAGATAAATTTTTTTCTTTTAGTACTGTTGACATCTCAGTTCCACCAGGTGGTGTGCATTATTAAGAATTGTTTTGTAATGTTGATGTAATGTTAAACGCATTTTATTTTATCTTTCCTGGACAGTGGGCACCTTGCCATGCGGTAGTGGCCACCCCACTTCTTGTTGCATTTGAGCTGCTGCTGTGCATGTATCTTGAGAGCCTCAATGGTATTCCCCCTGTTTATGTTATCGCATGAAATTATATTTGAGCCAGTTTAAGTTTTGAGGTTTTCGTTATGTAGTCCAACGCTTTTACATGTATTTGAGATCTATAATATTGCGTAATTGACTATTGATGATTTAGTTCCCCCCCCTCCCCCCTTGAACTTCAATGTCTTTCACACACCTCTCTCTCAATTGTCATTATTTCCTTGGCAGTTCATAGCTATGCAGTCATAAACTTGAAGATTGTCTTTCTTCCTTTGCTGTTGTTTGAAGTCATCATCCTAGTTGACAACTTCAGGTATCCTCTCTACTTTTATTGAAAAAGACAATTTGTTGTTCTGTAATGTACTGACTTGTAAAGTTCTCCTTGGTGGACCTCTTAGCTAGAATCTTGGACCTATTGATGTGAATGGTAGTTAATGTAATGTGAAATAGAATACACTTGAGAATTCATGACAATTTTACATAAACATTGAAAAACTATATTATTTATAAAATAAATTATGTAAATTTATTTATCGAATATTTGTTAGAATAGGAGTTGGGATGGGAAGCTGCATTGTTTGTGCATGGTAAAATCATTAATATGCGGTAAACTTTACCATTTGCCTGTATTTGGCATCCACCGAGTAAATGGGTGAAATGTAGATATTGTAGATGAATAAATGGGTGAAATGTAGATATCGTAGATGAATGTGAATCGTATCTAGGGGCTTCTCATAAATTGGATTCAACTTTGATGGCAAATACATAGTTTGTCTGAGCTAAATCTTCCAGAGAAATAATCTTGTTCTTATTGTAGATTTCTATGTCCTTCACAGATGGACTTGGTGGGAAGCCTAAGCTTGCATTGTTGTTTCACTCTATTATTGGATGATAGTCTTTCTCTAATTTGTTGGCAAAACTGTGAATCCTTGTGTTTCTGGCTTAAATTAATATGTAGTTTTTTTGAAGTTGAGTTATACCATTGCCCCTCTATCTATTGCAAAAGGGATGAGTTTGTTTCTTTATATAAACAAAAAATGTTCAATAATTCCAACTCGGTAATCAATTTGGTCGCTGCCAAAACTGAGTTGACTCATCAAGTTGAACAGTTGACTTGCAAAAACTTGGGCCAATTTTTTAATATTTTTGTGAAGCGGCGTGAAAAAGGGAATAGTATAGCATCCACATGATATGGATGCTGGAAGGGTGCACAAGCACCCTCCTCAACGTTATAGATTAAAATAAAAGGAAATAGATAGTCATAATTATAATGCATTATTTTTAAATTTTTTTCTACAATTTGGATTAACTTGAAATTTGGGGCCTCCACCTAAAAAAGTATAAAATAATAATATGCAAAAAATAAAATGGCCAAAATACCCCTTAATGATTCAGTGACATTGGTCAATTTATATTTTATAAGTTAATTGTTTGTATATATATTTTTTACAAGTCATTTTGGTCATTTTGATCAATTTATTTTTCTTTTATATGATTGTTGAATACCAATGAAACTGAAGGGGCAATTCTATAGGACGACTGTCCCAACCATGCTTTGTGGGACGCAATGTTAGGTGGTCAAGAACAACATATCCATAGAATACGTGTTGTTGAGATGGATGAGTGGCAAGATAAAGAAGGATACAATTTAGAATCAATACATTCGAGGGAACTCAGAGGTCGCTCCAATAGGCGATAAAATAAGGGAAACTAGACTTAGGTAGTCTGGTTCAAGTAGAGGCTTTAGAAGGGCAAGGGAAAGGTAGAAGTAGTGAGAAAAAATATGAGGACTTATGACCTAATTGAGGGTATGGCCCTTGATACAACAAAATGCGAAATAGGGTTTGTGTAGTTGACCCCAAATAGTTGGGATAAGGCTCAGATGATGATGACTAGTTCGAAAATTCGGCTGCCTGGCCACCTTGGCGGTCGTGAAGCCAAAATGGCTAGGCGGCACCTAGGCACCATGGATATAGGTTCCTGCCTAGGTGGCGCCTAACCCACCTATGTGCTCACCCTAAGGTGGGTGCCTAGGCGGCGCCCCGTGATAGGGAGGCTGAGGGCGTTTGCTGAGGGCGTTTACCGAGGGCAGAAAAATGCCCTCAGCTAGGGCCATTTTCAAGATTTTCCCCCTTAAAAAGAGGGGAAAAGGGTTTGGGGGGACATTCTAGTCCTAGAAAACCATCTTGTGCATACTCAAGAGAAAAACTCTAAAAAAACTTGGGATTTGAAAAGATTTCCGCAAGATCGTGAAAATTTCAACTTTTTTAATTTCTTACTAAAACAAAAGGAATACTTCGAGATAGTTTTTGGAGCTTGGAGTGGTCACATAAGAGAACTTTTGGCGACTAAAGATCACTTGTGTGGGTCGATATCTGTTTTATTTTTTAAAAGATTGGTGGATAGCAATATTTTAATTAAGGTTTTGTATTTTTTTGGTATAATGTATTATGATCTAAATCATTTGATATTCTTCTACTTTTTATTTTTTTTTCTTTTATGATATTTTTTCCATGTTTGTAGTTGAAATATTGCAAATGTTTTGTGAATATTTCGTGGTTTAGACCTATATTGAATTTGTTTTGAAAAGCTTAGTGCTATACGAAATTTGAATCAGGGTTGATATTTTGTTTTGTAAAATGTGTGATGTTCTAATAATGTGTTATTTTTTTATTTTTATTTTTTGATAATTTTACATTTTTTTTTATATTTTGTAATTTTTTGTTTTCTTTTTTTGATATTTTTATATGTTTTTTTGCTTCTTTTTTTTTTTTTTTGAGGTTTTATATTTTTCTTTTTTGATTTTGTTTTGGGATATTTTTACATTGAACATAGCTGGGCGGGCTGCCAGGCCCCAAACCGCCTAGGCTGCCGCATTCGACTTCTTGAACATTGATAATGGTGATGAATGATGATATGTTTTAGGTAAGCCTAAGTGTGGCATAAACACCTTCAAAGTTAATAGAGCGGGTGAAGAGAGGAATGGCAGGTCTCCAGCGCTCCCATCCTCTGAGTTGGAAGGACATTTACAATCTGTACCCTAAAACTCACCCCCCTCACAGGCTTTTTCGCTTTGGGCATCCTCTCTCTCCTCACCCCAAACTTTCCCCTTCTTCTTTAACCTCCAAGCCAAACCCATTCGCTAAAACTCTTCAAGAAAATACTTACGCACAGGGTGTTGCAAGGCCGCAAAGAAGCCTTGGGAGTAGTGAAGTGCCTTTGGTTAATCTCTCCCACTCATCCTCCCCCTTAACCCAGTCGCACTCTACAAGGTTCTCTCCCCCCTCATCTTCTCCTTTTCTCTCTTTCTTTGTCCCTTCCCATCCTGAGGAGGCTTTGGCTAGCAAATCTAAGCTTCTGGCATCTCTAGTAGGGAGCTTCAAACCTGTACGTGATGACCAACGTGGAATTGAAAGCTGGGCTAAAAAACACTTTGAAGGAGCCCAAACTTACTTGCAGACGTCTGCTAAGTGGAGATTTCCTCTTCTCCTTTCCTTCATCAGCCGCAACCTGTCATGCCTTACAGGGAGGAAAAAATCTATCATTCAAAGGGGCATCGTGCACACTTCTGCCTTGGTCACCAAAAGAGGGCTCCTTCAAGAAACAAAGAGTTTGGCTAACCCTACAACACACCGCCCTTCATGCTTGGTCTCCTGAGACCTTTCGGAGAGTGGTAGCAGCCTGTGGCACGCTGATCTCTATTCATTGGATCTCCCTTGAAACCTTACCGCTGGGTTCGATTTGACTTCTCCTGGAGGTCTTAGACACAAGTAAGATTCCAAATACCATCTGGTTAGAGGTGGAAGACCTCTACTACCCAGTCTGTATTTCGTGGGAGCAAGCCTCTCCCCTCTCAGCTCATTTTCTCCCAATGCCTGCCCCTGCGCAACCACGGGAAAATTTTTCTCAGCCTTGGACTGAAGTGATCTGGGAAAAACGGCACCACAAAAGGCGTCGTCGGCGTCCGCCCCACCCAGCCCAGAGTTCGGGAGTTTTTGAGATCAACACGCAAGGACGAAGCTTAGCTGACGCCCACGTGTTCAGCATCCTACCCTCTCCAAGCCTCTGACCTCGCAGCGACTCATTGACCCGAACCTCGTACTAGAGACGGAACCAAGCCTTCTCTAGCTGTCCTTTCCTCCCCTACTAAACGGCCCGGTAAAGAGGTTTGGGTCGACGCCTCACCTTCCCCTCCCTCTTCGGGCAGTTTGGACAGACCCGGTCCATCTTCTTAGTCTGCCTTACCTCCCTCCCCCATCGACTCCACTTTTCAAACCTTGCCATTATTTTCTCCTTGTACTCCTTCCGGCTCCTCTCTCCATGTGTCCCATTAAGCCTGCCAACTCTCCCCTTGAGCAGTGTGCATAGCCTCCACCTACTCACCACGTGGCTCTGTCTGTCCATCCATCTCCTTTGTGCCCCCTCGAGCCTGCCTACTCATTTCTCAGGCAGCCCTCGCCGCCTTCATCCTCCCTCCATCTGTCCCGGTCCTCCTCCCCTTCTCTTTCTTCTGCGACAGCTGCCAACCCGCTTACTTTACCGCCCCTGCCTCCCACCCAGCTGCCCCAGCTTCCTTCAAACCCCCTCACCTCCCCGTCACAGACTGACTTAGACGTCTTTCTGCAGTCCAACCCCCTGATGGAAAGGACACTCAGCCGCCCTTTGTTGGGTCTTTTCCTATCTTCATCGCTCCATCTTTCTCTCCTACCCCTGAGAACGTGTCAAACCCCCATGTTCCCCCCTTCTCTCCCCCTCCTGTTGACGGTGACTTTTCGAGTTCCCCCTGCCCCACTATCACTGAACCTCAGGCTGTCCAGTCTTACTGCCCTCTTTCCCACCCTTCGTCTTTGCCCCTTGCTATTACCTTTTCAACCCTCCCAAGCCCAAACGACCTCTCTTTGTCGGTGGCCCTAAAACCTTTGCCTCCCCCGTCCCTGCCTACGCTCCCTTGCCCCTCTTCCATTCCTTTCTCCCTGTATTTCTTTCCCCTTACCCTAGTAGCAGCCCTCAAACCTACCACAGGAAGTTCCTCCCCCGTTAGCCTTGTCCTCAACTAGACAACAAATAGTGACCCTACTCCTTTGGGCTTAGTCGTTGTACATACCATGGACCATCCCCCTCCTCATCCTACGTCCATCGCCAACTTGCTGGCCCCTCACCTTACGTTCACCCTTCACCTTGTACAAGTTCACGGTGTGCATACCCTCCATGTGGCTTGGTTCTCTTCCACTCTTGTGTTCTCCTCTTTTTCCTTTATTCAGACCTATCATTACATTACCTACCTCCCCTCCTTCTATTACGGGACCCCTTCCT